CTGGAATGTAGAGGCTGATATACGAAGCAGGGGAGGGGTCCCAGCCCAGCCATGGTGCCTTTGCAGGCAGGTGGTACTATGAGGCTCTTGCCTACCTGGATGCTTAGGAAGGTTCCTTTTGGCTCTAGGAGGGCAGGAATGGGACTCCGAGGCAGGATAAGCTGGGCCTGTAGGCCTGGCTGGAAGGTCGCTGGGACTGTTTTACTCCTTGCCGTTGGGCACCCAGACCAGACTCCACTTGGGGAAGGACAGCTTTTAGGGGGTCCTTGGTCTAGCATGATCTGGATTCTCTGAAAGCCAGGAAGTTCTTCTTTGTATCTGACCTGAATCTCCCCTGCTGTCAGTATGTTTTAACTCAAAGCAATTTACTGGTTTTCAAGCCTTCCTTCCTTCCTTCTTTCCTTCCTTCCTTCCTTCCTTCCTTCCTTCCTTCCTTCCTTCCTTCCTTCCTTCCTTCCTTCCTTCCTTCCTTCCTTCCTTCCTTCCTTCCTGCCATAGAACACTTTATCAAAAACAAAACCCCAATCTTCTATAACCATATGCTCGCAGAGCTTCTCTGCATGAATTAGAGTGGAACATGCATTCCATGTCCCCAGATATGGACGTAGAGCCTTAGAGTGCCTTGGGCGGTCTGCAAACCCCTGGTTGGCTCAGTGATCTCTGTGCCCCTTGTGGGCCCAGTCCTGCAGCAAGATAGTGGAGACCCCTGAGAAAAGCAGGTGGGAGGCCTGTCCTTGGGCAGCTGCTGGTCCTGTGGCAAGACTACACCCAAACCAGGGTATAAGGTCAAAGGTCAGAGAGGCCCAATCCCTACTCTGCTGAGGACTTTCTGTGTGACTGAGAGAGTGGTAGGCCCTCTCCGGGCCCTGGTTTCCCTCCGAACCATGGGGCACAGGCCTGGGGTGGGGAGTCTCTGCAGTAAGGTCTGGGAGGGAAAGTGGTCTTGCTGACCCACCACGACGAGTAAACCATGGGAGAGACATACACTGAGACAATTTAGCAGGAGCAGTGGCCGGAGGCCTGGCAGACCCAGCTCCTTCACAGGCTGGAAGTGGCAGGGCTTGGGCAGGAGCTGACTGGGAGGAAGCCACTGTCTAAAATATGCCACCAAGTCACCTTGCTGTGACATCCCCAGAGCCACTACCCTGCATCTGAGACAAGTGTGGCGTTCTCTGCCATTTCAGCTTTTGGAGGAGGAGTGGGCTTTCTCGAAGAGTATTTACCTATTCTTTCAGAAAGTGGAGAAAATTTGGAGAGGTGAGGGGGTGTTTAAGGGGAATGGGGAGATGAGAACGGAGATCTAGGGGCCTTGGGGAGGTCTCTCTCCCCTGCTTGGGGGCCTGAGGTTACTTGTGGGTGGCTGTCCACCTGGCTGTAACTTGGAAAGCCAGCTGTTGTTGGTGCCGTGGTCTGTGTGCTCAGTGACTTGAGGCTAGCCCCTCCTGGGCCTTGAGCCTCATTTCCTCAACTGTAAAACAGGATTTTCATGGCGTGCAGGGCTCTGAGGCTGCGGCAGTGTGATTGGCGCTCCCCCCAGGCCATCTCTGAAGGTAGGGGCCCTGTTATAACATAGCTGCACCTTCTCTCCTGGTTGCAGTCATGGACTCTCCTGAGAAGCAGGAAGAACTGGGATCCCCTACCCCAGAGAATATCCAAGTACAAAATTGTTCATACTAATTCAGTTCATTCAAAATTTACTCCTACGCATGCATTAATAGTGGTAATACAGTATTTCTGAAATACAGCCCACGCCTGTCCCTAAAGAAGGAATCCTAACTCTAGAATTCTGGCTCTACAGAACTGGACAGATGCTGGGGCTGGAGGCATGTTGGAAGCAAAGGGGAGCTGGATAGGGCCAGGAATCGAAGGAGCAGAGGACCATGGAGGGAGTGGGCTCAAGTCCTGGACTCAAAGGTGCTGTTGTTCATTTGCTCCAGGCACCAAATAGGAGCCGCAGCTCAAATCGTTCTTGTCCTCACCTGCCTCACCCAGGTACCACCCAGGTAGGAGGCAGCAGCCACCCCCAGGTCTGTGGGTGTGGTTGGCTGTGTGCTGGGTTCTCTGTATGCATGTGTGGGCCCACATCTGTATGCAGCGGTGAGTGTGTATGTGAGGGTTATTTCCAACTCGCCCTCCCCTGCTGGCCGCCTCCTGGGCAGCACGCCCAGTTCCCAGAGAGAGCCTATATACTTCCTCTGAGAGCTCCCCACACAACCTACTCCCTCCTAGCCATGGCCTGTGACCTGGACCACCTGGCCTGGGCCCCCTAGGTGGCTGTGGTGAAAGGCCCTTGTTGTCCTGCCCAGGTCGGCGGGTAAACATTGGGGGCTCAGTTATACTTGGTTCTGGAACAGCTTTTCCAGAGTCTTTGTGGGCTGGGTCAAGGGCCCTGGCCCCTGCCCCGCCCCAGAGTCTTAGGGCAGCATGTGGGTGGCTCAGAGATTGTCTCCATCACCACTGGTTCCCTCCCTATGCCAGAACACCCTCAGAGTCTGCCCTGGTTCAATTCCTTACACCTGATCACCCCATGTTCTCTAAGACACCCCCGTTAGTTCAGAGCGCCCCCCCCCACCCAGTGTACACAGGAACCCTCCCTTCTAGGTACCACTTTAGCCCCTCACCTTCTACCTTTCAAAGTCAGCTATGCCGGGCCGAGGAAGAGACACAGGAGCCACTGGCCCTGCACGCCCCGTGCTTTCTCTGACCTCCAGATTTGCCTCTCCACATCAGCTCAGACCTAGTCTCTTCAATGCTTGTCACTCTGCTGAGGGCCTCCCACAGTGCTTTGAAGGGGCTGGATACCACACTTGTCATCCCTAGTCAGAGTGGCCCGAGCCTAGCCCCCACGCAAGTCAGGAACTCCCTTAAAGCCCAGCAGCTGGGCTCCTCTGTGGGACTTACAGCACTTTGCTTCCTCCCTGGGGCCTCGGTTTCCATGTACAATTGGAAGGTTGGCCTAGATGGTTTCCAAGGGTGCTTGACTCTCAGGCCTCATGACCTGAATGCCTAATATATATCCGTCTGGCACCTAGATCTGGAAGGCCTTTGGGGTCAGGGGAGTCCATGGGTGGTTTGGAGAGACACACTTCCACACTCAGGCAGGGGCTTCCCCTATTGCAGAGACCAGGACAGGGAGCAAGGCCAGGCATGGTGACAGAGATGGGTCTGGGGAGGGGCACTCTGCCTGGGAGAGGGAGAAGGTACCGGCTCACTCACCCCCTATCCATTTTCAAGTCCTTCCTAAAGGCAGGAGTTAGTTCGACATTATAAAGTCCCACTGGCACATGCAGCTCTTGTCTGAAACCTTTGGTGGCTCCTCGAGAGGATGCAGGCAGTGGGCTGCATTTTGCCATTTAAGGTTTCTGTGCCCAATGCAATTGCTTTTCTTGGCTTGTGGTCAAAATATGCCTTGTAGCCAGGCCTACAGCTCAACATCTCTTTGCTCATGCTCGGGACCTCTGCTCCCCGAGACCCTTCCTGGAGCGCCGACCTTTTCACACCCTCCAACTCTTAGCCCAAGGGTCACTCTCTGTCTCGCCTCAGCTTGCTTCTGCATTTCTCTTCTCTGTACTCTTTTTTCTGGATCTTGAAGGAAATGATAGGAATTGCTGTTTGACTTTTAATTTGCTGTTCTGCCTCCTGAATGAATTCAAGTTCAGCCTTTGCATTCTGTGTGCTCCCCATTATCCAGCATGATGCCTTCATGATGTCAGTGCTGAGGACATTTTGAGAGGGGCTTTCAGTTAAAGCTGAAGGAAGTAGTGGCACTGGAATCTTTCCCTTGGCCGGAGGCTGGGAACTACACGAATGGACCTCCTCAATCACCTCAGTTGCCCTCTTCCCACCTCCTTAAAGGTCCAATCCATCACCCAGGCCCTGAGATTTTGGAGGATGGGATCCCTGGGAAGGGTAGCAGAAAGCCTGGGGATCTGGCTCTGACTCATGCTAGTGTGTGCTGGGGGGGGGTCTTCCCCTGACTCATTTCCCTTCTCATGTCCTGGGCTCTTGGAAGGGAGACTCAGCCCTTCCTCTGCTCAAAGTTGCTCTTGGGGATGGTCCCGAAATCTGTAGGCTGAAGCACTAATTGATACATGAGGCCATGGTTCTTATGGAATAACTAGACTATGCCTTAACTAAAGGGAGAATACTGCAGTGGTGGGACTTCTGGCGTTGTGACTGAGAGGGGACATATCCTAGCACCCTTCGGAAGGCAAACTATTATTCAGTCTCTGCTTTGGTGACGCCACCAATGCCTGGGACAGGGAGGTTGCCCAGGGCTGTCTGGGGGACAAGCCCCTGCTGGAGCACAGGATATGGAGGGGCACCATCCCTGCATCTAGGAGGCTGGAGAGTGGGTGGTCCTGTCTGTCACCTACCAGGTTTTCTCAGTGAGGAGAGAGGAGAGAGAAAGACAGGAAGGGGAAGAGGAGGACAGGAGGAAGGTGGTGATGAAGAAGCCAGACAGAAAATTCCCCTGGTTACAAGTGGAGTAAGAGAAGCAGGAGCAGAGCTGGGAGGCAGCTGGAGGAGGTGGAGGCTGAGGTGTCTGTGCCCCACCCAGCACAGGGTGGGGCAGAGTGGCTGTCTCCCCATTTCTTGCTTTGCAGTACTCCCCATTCCTGGCCTGGGTGGCTGAAGCTGGGGTACTTCTCAGTGGGTGTTCTTTGGCTACTATGTGGTTGCAGAAAGCCTGCTGGGCTCAGGGAGCCCAGGTGTCATTGAGGTGGCTCTACTGGGTATGGAGAACAATCCTGGCCAGAGCCATGGCCTAGGCAATCCCACTCTGGGGCCAAGCTCAGGAAACCAGAGCCCGTGTAACCCCGAGATGGAGAGTGTCTTTGCCTGGTGGAACTGCCGGAGACCCCAGCCTGGGGTGGCAGGAGCACAGCCTCCTCGTCTCCTGGTCTGGGGGCCACTTCTGGGCCCTCTTGCCCCTTTTCTTTAAGGAATCTGCCACAGCTCCTGCCAGTCTGGGTAGATGTCTCAGGCCCCTCACTTACCTGCAGATGCTGGTTCCGCCAACATAGCCAAGGTCAATGCCAGGGCCAGGGCAGGGGCCAGGGTTGGGTGCCGAGGGCCTGGATGCATCACAGCAGGCTGGTGGCAGGACTTGAGAGGAGCCCTGCAGGATCCAGAACCTGGGCAACAAAGTCTCCAGTTGAGAGATCGGGGCTCTTCTGCTGTGGGCTGGGCTCCTGGTGCCTGCCGCCTACTTAACTCGGGGGGCGGAGCAGGCGGCTCGACCAGAGCAGACCAGCGCTCCGGTTTCATCAGGCCGGGGCTCCCCGCCTGCCCCCCTCCAACCTTCTTAAAGGGCCCGTGCTGGGCTGCTCTTCCCCATGCAGGGGTCAGGGGATCCTTACAGCTCAGTCAGACTCAGGCTTCACTCTGAAGTCTTGGACCGAAGTTCCAGAGGACACCGGACCCACATGAGTTGGGCCAGCCCACTCACTTCTCTCTTCTTTTGCTGTTGCAAGGGTTGGTGGTGGTGGTGGAGGGGTCCTCACAGCAGGCCTAGGAGAAGAACCCCACTACACACACTGCTTTGGGGCCTCTTTGTCTCTGAGGTCTCCTCAGGACTCTGCGCAGAGAAGCACCAGCCTGAGGTTTTACACTGGCTCTGTGCTCACTGGCGTTGCAACCTTGACTTTCTCTGCCATGCAGGGAGGGCCTCAGTTCCCCAGTCTGTAAAGGAGAGATGTTCTACACTCACCCACAAGGCAGGAAGGATTCTCAATTCCACGGTGTCATTTTCTCAAAATAACCCTGCAAGGTGGGTAGAACCACCCCTCCCCCATTTCATGGAATAGGAAATTAACTCAGAGCTGGAAGTGGCTCTTTCAAGGCCCCCAGGAGGAGATGAGGCCCCTGACCAGTTGGTACCAGGCCTCCAGGCCTCCTGGCTCCTGAATTTGATGGGTCGAATTTCTGGGGCTGCCTCCTGGAAATCTGGCCCTGGATTTAGCTCCTACCTAACAGCTTCAGGCTGGGGCCCTGCTCCTCTTGGCTCCTTCCCAGGCAACAACATCATTCGTGTCCCAAATAGGAGGAGAAAATGCCGTATTATTGCAGAGCTTCCAGGGCCTAGAAGCTCTGCCTGCTCTCTGCTGGCCCCAACGTCAGCATTGCCTGGCCTCAGTTTTTATGTCCAGTGAATGGGGGGCAGAGCACCCCTGGAGTGCTCTCCCTTCTTCTACAGGAATCTCTCTGTCACACCTGCCTGCTTCAGCCCACCCTCAGTCTCACCAAGTACACTCTCCCCAACTTCTCCCCTTGACCAGTAACATCCCCACTATGCATACAAACTTTATAGTTTGCAACAAAATTGAGCCCCATTTTCAGATGAAGAAACCGAGGCTTAGAGAACTTATGGGACTTGAATAAGTGTCCACAGCTGCTAAGAGCTGGAGCCAGGTCTCTGACCCCCAGCCCGGCACTCCTCCTGTGCCGGTGTGGCGGCTGAGGTCTGTGAGGTGGTTGTGAGCACCGGACCTGATTTCAAATTCCAGCTGTCCACCTTGACCTTCTCTGCCATGCAGGGAGGGCCTCAGTTCCCCACTCTGTAAAGGAGAGATGTGCTACACTCGCCCACAAGGCAGGGAGGAGTCTAAATTGCACGGTATCCGGCTAAATACTCAGCAGTCCAAACTTGAGCAAGTAGCTTTACGTTTCTGTGGCTCGGTTTCTTCATTTCTAAAATTGGATTTGGGAGGATTAAATGCTTCAATGTACCTCGAGGGCCAGGCTAGGGCCCGGTGTAAAGCAAGTGCTCAAAAATGCTCATCCTGGTTTCTCCTTTTCTGTAGTCCTGCTGCCCATCCTCCTGTGTATCCGTGTGCATAGGTTTTACACTCTTTACCTCCCAGAAAGGAAAACCCTTTGAAGGCTGAACTTCCCTCTTTGGAGGCAGCTGCCTATAGTAGGAACTCAATAAATGCATTCTGGGGTGGATGAAGAAGCCAGTTACTGCTGTTCTATGAGAATTTTGGCAGACCTAAGCCAAGTCCTGTCCAGTTCACCCTAAAAGGCCTGGGCAGGGCTGTGGTCAGCTGATTTCAGTGGCAATAAAACCTTTGATTCCACAACTTGTCTCTTTTTTCCCTTCTCCCCGAGTCAGTAAGGCATCTGGTCCTTGTTCGGGGTTAATTACTGCCCAAGTTTGGGCCTGGGGCATGGGGATGGGGATTGCTGGGAAGATTGTGTTTAGAGGAATAGAGCTTTAATTTTAGGAATGACAAAAAGATTGAAGAAGACCTTTGCTTATTTATGAATCAAAAACTTAGGTAGAGTCTTCCACGTACCCCATCTTGCCATTCTTCCCCCTCTCCATCTTCTGCCTTCTACCCAATTGCTATGCACACAGATTCACCTATGAGGAGTCCACTGTGGAGCCTCCAGCCGCAGTTCTGAATGGAGTCAGGGTTAGCCCAAAGCCCCACCTACATTGCTGCTCGCTAGGGAAAGAAACAGGCCCAGAAAAATGGTGGCTACTCAACTTCTCTGCTGGGTCTCCCAGTTTACAAAACATTCACCTGGTCTTCTGACAACCCTGGGAGGTGGTGTGTTTAGAGACAGTGTTCCCTTTTCACTGACGAGGAGACTGAGGCTGCAGTGGAAGAGTGATGCTGGAGCCCTGGCACACACAGACCTGGCCTTGGCTCAGCCTGCACTCCAGCATTTAAACCCCAAAGCAGTGTGGAGAGGCGTCATGCTAGGCAGACTGGCAGAAAGTTGGGACCCTGCGTTGCTTTTGAACTGGTCCCTGACCACCTCCCACTGTGTCAGAGCAAGCTGTGGGACTGGGCAGTGCCTGCTGCCTGCTCCTCAGTTGCTCCCTCTCTAGCCTCTTTAGCATGCCCCCAGGGACCCTGAAGTTCTGGCCCTGAGTAGAGCTGACCAGGGCCTCCTGGTCACTCTTACCCTCGGTGCTTTGGGACGAGGAGTGCCCGCTCAGGCAGTAGCCTTGGCCAGGGCCTGGCACTGTGAATGCCTCTATGTTTTGCGCCCTGGCTGCCTGGGCCCCACCCAAGGAGCCTGTGGCCAAAGCCAGTTTGCTGGTAAAGGGCGGTGCTTGTTCCCTGGATGGGATGGTACCTGAGCCCGGGTGTGCTCCCACTGCCCAGGTCCTGCAGTCAGGGAATTGCCCTTCTGCTATGGACACAGAGCTCAGGCCACTATAATGCAAGGGGACATAGGCTTCTGGCCCTGATTCTGTGGCCCTGGAGTCTCATGGGCCTGGGCTTCTGACCAGGGGCCTCTGCTAGGAGTGATCTTGCTCCTGCTCTAGGCCAAAGGTATTGATGGAGCTACTTCCAGTGCAGGGGCCAGGCGCAGAAGGGGTGGGGCAGCTACTCCCAACAATTACAAACTTTAGGAGCTGAAAAATTGTTTGCTGACCTCGGGAGCTGGCTGTGAACGGAAGGCCGGTGGCAGAACTTTGCCTTGGCCAGGGCCAGGGTTTGAGCCATGCCTAAAGCCCTACTGGGGGGACAGACTGGGGGTGGGAGAAGCCTCTCAGAGCCTCTGTTCCCAGGAACAGACACTCATCTTCCTTACCATATCCATAAAGGCTGCGGCTACAGTGGCTAAGACCAGCTGGCTGCAGCTGACTTCCCCTGGGGTTACACTATTTCTAAATATTGGCTCATGTTGTTAACCCCTGCTGTGCGCTACCAGCAGAGATCTGGCTTTCTGCAGAGAGAGCCTGGTGGGCAGATCGGGTGGGTGGGGGGGATGGTCAGTTCCCATTTGAATGGAAAATCTGTGCATATACTTGTTCAGGGTCCAGGGCTGGGGAGGTCTTCCCATAAGGATGAAAAATACCTGCTCAAGATTGTGAATGAGGCTTCAGTGGGTGTTAGGGGACATGAGTCTGAGCTGGTGGCAGGGCCTGGCAGTGGAAAGAATGTAGGGTTAGAAGCCAGAAGTCTGGTTCTGCCAAGCCTCTCTGTGTGGCCTCTGGTGAGTCACTGCATCTCTTTGCACCATTCCCCTCACCTGTAAATTGTAGAACCACCACGATGCTTGGATGATACCTTCCAACAGAGGTGCTAGGACTTCATAAGCTGTGAAGGGCTGTGCCTGATGGTTACGTTGATGGGAAGTGTTAATACCAGTGTCCTGCTCTCTGCATGACTCCTGTGAGTCCCTTTAAGGAGAGGCAAGACTGACAACCAAAAGCCAGCTGGAACCAGCAGGCAGGGCTGTGTTCAGCCTCCGTGGGAGTGGTGGGTATGCCACTCTACACAAGAACACAGAGCTTGGATTTCTACCCTGGTGGCTAGGTGTCCTTGTGCAGTAAAAACCTGTGGTAGCCAGCCTCTAAGATGGTCCTCACCGTCTGGCATTCATGCTCTTGTGTAGCCACCTTCCACATTGAATAGGACATTGCAGAAATGATGGACTATGATTTCCAAGGGGACACCATAAAAGACATGGAAGCTTCTGCCTTGCTCTCTTCTGATTGATTGCTCCAGAGGAAGCCAGGCACAGTGACTTGAGGAGAGTTAAGCAGCCTGTGGAGGACCCATGTGGACAGGACTGAGTTCTCTTACCAACAGGCAGCATCAAGTCACCATTCATGTGAGTGCCATCTTGAAAATGGATCTGCCAGACCCAAACCTTCAGGTGACTGCAGTCCCAACTTGTGACACCTTGATTGCCACTTTTGAGAGACCTGGAGCCAGAACCACCCAGCTAAGCTGCTCCTGAACTCCTGACCCACAGAAATGGCTTAGGTTTTGAGGACAGTTTGTTATGCAGCAATAGATAAGTAATACAAACCTGTACAACTGTGACTGGTAGTCCAGTGAGCCAGAGTTAAAATGTGTCTGGGACTCAGAAAGTAAGACTCTGCTCCCTTGAGAAAGAGTGATGTTTCCCTGATCAAGCAATGGATCTGCTCGTTCATTCATTCAACAATACTTCTCAAGCACTTACCATGTGCCGGGGGCTTGGGACATAAGAGTAAATGACAGAAACTGCCTTTGGGAGCTCACAGGCTCCCCAATGTCATTTAGTGATTGTTGGATGATTGTTAGTGATTAAGGACAAGTGAGATGCCTAGGACATAGCTTGGGCACTTGGATGGATAGTGACATCATTCATTGAGATAAACGGGCTCAGGGGCATCTCATGACAAAAGCTTTGGGCATGTTGATTTTGAG